TCGATCCAGAATCGTTGGAGAGAGAATCGCGATGCATCGATGGATTGATTTTTTCTCCCACCCCTAATTTTAATGGGAATAATTAAGTGCGAAAATAACTGAAGGATATATCTATTTGCTAAATAAACTAAGCCAACTAACATTATACACATTCTTTTGGTTTTCTGTACCCAGTATTTCTAAATATTATAAATGCAATGAAAATACAGGTATCTATACTCGGTATCGGCAAGTACCAAAAATAAAAGTAGCGGTATCGGCCTCGTTCTGGAAAAAGTGGTATCGGTGCATCCCTACTTATAAAGCACATATTAATTTCTTATTCTGCATGATCACATTTTAGATCTCTTAATCCAACCCATACCTAAACTAACAACTACCTTACTAAAAATTAACAAACAGCAAATTAGGAGTTTATTGAGGCAAAAGTTATTGCTGATAGTTAGGAAATAGTGGGAATTGGTCCCCAAAATAAAGAAAGTGTGATCATATAGGCCTAATATTTTGATGTCCTAAGTTGACAGATAATCATTTTCTGAAGGTTAAGCACCATTCGTTGCATCCGTTACTGATCAGATGAAGGCCGTGATGTTGAGGTCGGTCTCACCTGAGCTGATGTTCTCTGAGGTGACACAGCACATCCATGTGAAACAGATGAGTGTAGATGGTGTTTAGGTCCTAAACGAGACAAACACACACATTAGTGAGCCACACCTGATGCTCTCTTAACTCAGATCAGCATCAGGACCATTTGTTCACACTGTGATTGGCTGATCGGATTGCCATTATTTATTTTTATAGTGACTCTAACCCAAGTATGGGGTCATGCTGAAGCAAAATGATGGTGCATTTTACATTGTAAAATTGCAGTGTGCAATACTAACACTCAATTCAAAACGGTTATGAATAACTGTGACCAGCATGAGATCATACACAGCATTGATACACTGAATAACAGAAATACAGTATATCTATTACAAGCTCCAAAGACAAATCATTAGTATCGATGATTAGCTTCTTGTCTTAGTGTTTTATTGTAAAGCAAACCACCGATTATTATTAAGCAACAGCATGAAGATATGGCACCGTTATTAAATGTCAGAATGTTATTGGTGTATATAAACAGACAGTGTTGTGCATTAGCTACAGATACTCATCTTTTCAAAAACAAACTAATGTTGAAATCCAACTAAATAAATCACATCAGGTTCAGTGTTGGGGAAAGTTACTTTTAAAAGTAATGCATTACAA